GTGTGTGTGTGTGTGTGTGTGTGTGTGTGTGTGTGTGTGTGTGCGTGTGTGTGTGTGCTAACAGCCTGACTCGCCCTTAGATGCAATAAGTATGGCGAAGCAAACTTCCCGAAAGCCCCTAAAGAACAAAGACTCTGTGACGGAGTAAATATGATAGCAAGGGTAGGCCTACAGTTACTGTAGTAAACGTTTCGTTTTTCTTTTTGTTTGTTTTATTGGGTTGGGTTTTTGTTGTTTTTGTTCCTCGTAAAACAAATCTTCTTGAAAGCAGCAATTTTGCATCCAACACCATCTGAATCTACAAAGAGGGAAAACCATCAGCGTTCTCAAAGTGCCAGGTCCACTGTGACATTGTGGGGCACTCACAACCCGTTCTTAGCATACAGTTCTTGGATCTGTTCTTTGTACTTGGCGCTTAAAGCGTTTCTTTTGTTCTTCATTGTAGGGGTGATAAGTCCGTTGTCAATGGAGAACAGTTCTGGCTCCAGGATGATGTCTTTGACCTGCGGAGTGAAACAAGACATAGGCACATTGGAAGTGAGTTTTGTTTGATTGAATAAAGAGAAGTACAATGTGAACAAAATAACAGCCATTAGGAGCTAGGAAAAACTAAGACAGACACTTTGAGTTTGAGTAATGAGGAGCTAAGTGACATTATAATTGTTAGATGGTGTAGGGAAGAAGCACGACAGATGGACAAATAACAACAGATAAAAATAAAAAGAAGTAGGACCAACCAGTGGCGCCTGCACAGACAGGTCGATAAAGGTTTAGTTTTACTACGAATTTTAAGAAACTTTCAACACGAAAAGGTCAGTATAGTTGCAACAGATTAGAGGTGTCACTAGAGAGTAACATACGGAGAATAGATTAGAAGGAAGAGAGGCACAGACAGTGGATGTTTGATAGCAAAGAATGAGCAGACAGGGGGACAGAAAAAAATTGAAGTCGTCTCAACCACAACTGACAGAGGTTTAACTCCCGGCAGTTTCACATTGTTATGTTTGAAGGAGCATTATATTAGTGTGAAAAGAGACAAAACACCAAATGGTTTGTGGAACTTTATTTTAGGGAATTATTAAGTCATTTTAAACTTTTTAAAAGTGAGATAAGCAACATCAGATTCACAAGAACAACAAATTATTGACGTGCTGTACTACAACCTTTACTTGGACTTTACAGTCGCGTTATTCCAAAAATGGAAAAATAGTCCGATGGATAGGGAGTTGGGGCAAATATTATATCCCTTTCATAGCAGGTCAATGAAAGAAACTGGGCGCACCACGAGTTAATAAGCAATGTCTTCCTGGGTCTTCGGAAGCCATTGTAAGCTAGAGCCGCTGACAGGCCCTTTTTTTCTGACAGACAATTTGCGTCCTGATGTGGCAAGAAAGATGATTTTGACATAGCACTTTTTGCAAACACGTAGACCTAGTTGTTCTGCATTCTATAAGGCCCTATCTACGGCTTTGAGAAGTTTTCACATACATTGAATTGTTCATATAGTCATTCTAGACAGCCTTTACTCCCAGTACAATTTGCTTTTGTAGTGTTTTGTTGTTGTTGGTTTTTGTTGGGTTTTTTTCGACATTCCACTGACAACATCAATCTTTCGCAAGATGGAAAAGATGAGAAAACTTCAGACCCATTTCGTACTCGAACCTCAAGCTTCTGCTGGTTTGTGTGACTCACACACAACTATCTCCCGCTGTCTGACATCGAACAATATCATGGTTTTCTTTGTAATAGTATTAATTTTGGCTAGTCTCAAAAATAAAAATAAAAGGACGATGAACTGTTCACGCAAATACAAAAAAAAAGTAAAACATATCTCATCTGTTTAAAAAACCTAGAGAGTAAAATGTTAATATCTCAGGTAATGTAATACAAAATATCTCACAAATTACAAAACAAAATTGAAGTGTCTCAAATATCAAATAAAACCAAAGGGCGGCTCAGGTATGATATCTCGTGCATGAAGAAACAAAGAGCATAATCAGCTGTGAACGGAAATACCCCATGCATCAAGAACGTCATATCAAAGTCTTGGTGAGATATCAGCAACCTCTCACCTTTTCAAAACCTCGTAGACCACGTTTGTCTGCACAAACCATTATGTCTTTGAGGACAACTTCTTTGGCCCTCTGAAATAAAATCCAGACATAAAATGGACATGAGACGTTGTGTGTGTGTGTGTGTGTGTGTGTGTGTGTGTGTGTATGTATGTGTGTATGTGTGTATGTGTGTGTGTGTG